AATCTCCTATTTTGAGCTTAAATTGGAATTCTGAATTTTGACTAGGCTGGTTTTGAACTCAGAATACTTTCAGAAGGATCAGAACAGAAGATTTGGAACAGCTGTTTCTAACTCAGCAATGTTTATCATGCCAGTAATGAACAAGGGTTTTGATTCTTCCGATGCAAGATTAGAATGTGATTTTATTAAAGGGTAGCACCTGGTGTCCTCCTACTATAGAAACCACCAAGCATGTGACAATGTGACTGGACTACAAGAAGAAAAGAGCCGCCTACTCTTTGTGACTATGAAAACAAAAAGCTATATTTGATTTGGGTTTTTTTTTTAAAATGACAGAAACATGGCCATTTCAAAGCAAAAGACTTTGATTCAGTACATCATGAGCAAAACATTCACACAGATTATCCACAATTGTTTTACAAGGTATGACCTTAAAACAATGCTTGGTTTATGTACGTACACATTTATACATTTTTTTTCATTTGAAGTATTACCAAAGGTACTTGGATCACAATGAAAATAAACAAATAACAATCTCTGTTCCCCTCTCTCCGTCTCTTTATCTAAACTCAGTGCCGCCCAAGCCTCCATGCATATGAACAGCAAAAGACGATTTAAGACACAGAAATGTGATTTTTTTAAAAAATCATGGAATGAGCAGGATCTTCATTCGCTCTTCTTCAGTTCCATAATATACAGTACATTCACCAAGATTAGGAAAAAAAATAATGTTCACAATGCCTCTAAGTTCCCTTTTTTAAATTAAAAAAATGTAAATGCATCCTTCGTTAAAAACAGTTCCATCAATAATTTTAACATTTTATTCTGAGGTTTCAGGTGCAAAAGCCATATGGAAGTCCGAGGTATATGAGAGAATACAGAAAATTTGTTCTTGTTCCCTAAAAGAGGCTGCCAGACCTAATTTTTATTGCTGTAGGCTTGATTTCCGCCCCATCCCCTTTTAAAATCTCATTGCTGAAAACTATTGTTACCTTTCTGGGTTATGCTCAAATCAGTAATGGAGGGTTAAATTCTAGAGCAAGGTTTCTCAACCTTGGTGACTTTAAGATGGTGGACTTCAACTCCCAGAATTCCCCAGCCACTCACCTTAAAGTTGCCACGGTTGAGAAACACTGCTCTAGAGAAATTATTTGCAAATTGTAATATATATAAAGGAAAACATTATTTTGATTGCCAATTGAGCAACATTTTTATGACAATTGTATCTAAAATATAGTTGGCTAAAGAAGAATGCAATAAATCACTGACTGAGGTCATGGAAAAAACATCAAGCACTGCTGATTAGAAAGAATCCATATTTTCACAGGATATTCCTAGCAATGCTTCCATGGTTATGTGAGTTTACAAAAGCATCTTTATGTCATGAAAAGGAAATACTATTATTGTGTGGGAAAGCAAGCATTTTTTCTCCCAGAGGAAGTACGTTATTGAATTGCTGCAATAAATCTGTCAAATAACGTACTGTATACTGCTGCCTTTTACAACACTGAAATATCTTCTAAAGAAAATAGAAAAAAGAAGGTAAAGAATTGAATTTCTAAAGCAGTTAGCAGAACCAGCCAACTGGTATTATTATTTTTCTGAACACTTAAATCCTCTTTGGGGATAGCATGGCTTCCATTGATTTCAACGGATGCTAGAGGGGTAGGGAAAAAAACAACCCTAGAAAGACAGACTTACGGATGTATCCATTAACTTGAATGGAAGAACAGCTCTGACATTCCAGCTAGAATTCTTTGGCCAAAATGCTAAAATTTCCAACTGAGCAAGTGCTCAGCGTGTTCACAGCCAACAATCTGCTAAAGCTCTTCTTGAATTGGAACAGTTTTCCCCACTACAATATAATAATATCGGATACAAACTGCTGAAAGAGATACCATGGCTCAGCGGGAGAGTACATGTGTACTCCACAAAAAGCCCCAGTTGCAGGTTTTGCTATCCCTTGGAACAATTGAAGACAAACCTGTCTGGAATCCTACAAAGTTGATTTTTGAGCAAAAGAATATGACATATTAACAGCTTCCTATGTTTCTAAGCCCAATGTCTGGTTAAGAAGGGATCATCCAAGTTGGCGGAAATCTGCTGCCACTGTTGAAATGGGCTACCAAAATTGAGTTGGTGTAAGACAGATTTCTTATGTTGCCCTTGAAATATCCACAGCATGTATATATATATCTCCTATATAAATCAGGTGGAAGTAACCATAATATAGCAGCTGCATCAAAGACTGCATCAAAGAAACTACATTGGATTTCAGCAATAATCTGGGGGGGAAATATCTTAACTCACCTAAAAATGTATACACCGTATGTACCAGCTCCAGAGATGATGCTGAATATCCAGTTCCCAAAACTAGAGCATTGATCATGGAGCTTGTTTTGTGTGTGCGTGCGTGTGTGTGTGTGTATAGAGGGGGGGGGGAGTGGGAGAGGGAGGGAGGAAGAGAGAGAGGCAGAGAGTGTGAGTGTATAGTGGTAAGATGTTCCTCCCTGGTTACCAGACTATTAAAATCTTTTTTAATGCTGCTGTTTTAACGCTGATTCAAATTTGCATTTTTCTGAACTTCAGTACCAGGTACCTCTAAAAAAGAAATGATTGCAGGTTGAAGTTGCTTGGAATGTAATTTAAAAAAAAATAATCACCAGGCTTTTATTTCCAGGCCTCTACTATTTTAATACATTATAATTCACCAGAGGGGGAAAAGATCATCAAAGAAAGCACCATTACCATCTAAATTAAAACTGGCTTACACTTAATCTATGCAAGGTTTCTATCCCAAGTATTAACTCATATACCTTTCTTGAAATGTAGACTGAAAATTATTCTAGGCAAAGCCATGGCTTTTTCCCCCCCCTTATGTTTTATACTAAAAGGACCATCAACATGGACAGAACTACAGCAAATTGTTATTTCAAATATTTATAAAATGGTCTCTCTCTCTCTGGAGATCACAGCAGCTTAATTTAAAGAACTAATTTGCAAGGAATCAGACTTTCGGAGTATGATAATCACTTTCTGATCACTATGTCCGTCCTGGCTGAGGATTGAGTCGAAAGCTGGGGAGTGGTCAGCATCAGGGGCGGAGCTAAGCTAAGCAGCTTTGACAGGCTCAGTGCAATCAGCTAGGAGACAGAGTTAGCTCATGCCTGGCCTATCGTAACCTTATAAGGGAGAAATGAAGGATCTTAGAACAGTAAGCTAAGTGATCTGTATTCTCTTTATATAACTTGAATATTTGCCCTCTTGAAAGATAGAAAGAAATGGTTGTCTATGTACAACCATTTTACCGCTTTGTGGTCAGAAGGAATGCATATTAAAGGGGATGCTGCATCCCCAAAAAGGTCCTGGAAGAGTCATAAAAGCTGAAGTTTTAGCTGGCATGGATTATGCTGAGATGTTTGCAGTTCTTAGTCTTAAAGGCACATCTGAAAACATATTGGAAGTTCCACTGAGCTGAAGGTGGCTTATAGCTAAGTGTCACTCAACACTAACTTAGTGCTAAGTTAGTTACTCCTGACTGAATTTCTGAGGGGGAGAAAGAAAGTAGAAATGTACTTCCATCCTTTCCAATAGTGTCCTGAGACCTTAAATTGGGTCCCTTCCCTGGATAGAACATATAGATTTTCCCTCCTATGTCACTGGCATCTGCCCATAAAAGAATTCCCAGGAGGACATGGGTTTTTACTATGTCTTATGGTAGGGGATGACCCGGGCATAGAAGTGTATTTTGAATGGCAGGCTAAGAAGCAAAGTTTTTTTCCAACAAGAGAGCACCAAAACATCCCACATAAGTTTCTTATGAAAAAATTCAAAAAGGACAAAAGCCCTTTGAATCTAATGCAACTCTGTGTTATGACTAAAATACCTGTTGAGATTTGACCAAAACATCCTATAAGTACATTAGTCAGCAGATTAATTTGTAGTGCTGAATGTATATAAAATCTGTCACCAGTATAGAGCAGAAAATCACAGGGCTTCGGGTCCTTTTTCTAGATTAATTCTGGTACAGGCCCAGAGTAGCAATTAAGGGGAGGCAGATGTTCTTGACTCCCACTAGACCTGTCTTTGTGTTTTAGGAATGGCCTAGACCCCTGGATGGACTTCAACTCCCAGAATTCCTCAGCCAGCAAAGCAAAGCTGGCTGAGGAATTCTGGGAATTGAAGTCCACAAGTCTTAAAGTTGTCAAGGTTGGAGACCCCTGGCCTAGACTGTACACAATTAGCAGCAATAGATATACTAAGAATAAGAGACAGCTTGTGCTCTATAATCTGGCAATTACTTACAGGAATTGCATTGCCCCACTTTCAACCATTCCCCCCCCCCCCCCCCAAGAAATCAAGCTGGGGTTTCTGGAACACCAAACCAGGGCAACTATAACGTTGGTGTATCATATTGGTACCAACACCTCTCAACTTAGAGAGTGAAGTAAAGCAGCAAAGTATCTATTTGGCAAAAAAAAAACACCAAAACCCGAAATCATCAACTCTGAATTTATCCTGCCTTTCTTTAAAAATGGCTGCACAAAGTATTTCCTGCTATTAAAGATTAAGTTGCAAGCAGCTCTATTTAGAAGTACAGGAATTTACAGGAGGGCTTTCTTTTACTCTAATTCTGCATTTTATTCCTAATTTTTACAGATTTACAGAAATTTCCCAATGAGTTGGATGCTCTAAATGTTGCTGAACTACAACATCCATCAGCCTTACCTAACATAGCCAATGGTGCAAGAGGTTTCAAAACAATAATCCAAACCGCACAGAAAGGGCCCTACGTCCCCTTGTCCCTGCCTTATACATTAGGGTTTTCAGCCTAATATGATCATCTCTAAAAGCCACTTCTGCAAGCCAATTGCATTTTCTTCAGGGAAGAAAAGGGTTTCAAGTAGTTGTGAGAATTTCAAACTTTTTCATACTTTCTTATTTTGACTTTGTATATCTTTCTCTGGTTGACAACTTGGAGGTTTTTTTTTTTATAAAAAAAATAGGACCTCTTATCAACACTTCTGCCCTTCTTTTCCCCCAAAATAGAGTTGGCTCTCTAAAGGGAAAAAGACACAGCACTTTTGAGTTAAATTTGTTCAGGAGTTGCTGACAAATAAAACAGCCCTTCAGTGATTATGCCAAGCTTCACCTCAGCGGTCACCTAACCAGACAAAACAATCCATAATACCATAAAACAGTGAATAAATTTGAATGGCAAACTAAACTCTCTACTGGGAGTTACTAATGCAGCTCGGAGACCAAATGTTGATTGAGCAGGCTGCTAATCTGATACAACGTTGAACTACATTACAGTATTCAGCTACACCCAAAAGTGAATTTTTCTCCCCAGTTTTAGAACCAAGTGTTCTAAAGGACACATCAAGTAGGAGGGATTGTCTTTAAAGTAATATCTATCTATCCATCTATTTAATCATACATATTGATAGCCTTGAACAGGGCACATGCAAACCTCCAGACTCTGCAGACTTCATAAATAATGAACAAAAGTTAGCAATGGCTAGCAAAAGTATGCAAATTCCTTCAAAATGGCCAATTTACGCAATTTCATCAAATGCAAACCAAAACAGTAATCGAACGGACTTCTGTTTCCATCTGTGCATGTGTCAACCTGCCTGCAAATTGCATGTTGATCACCCAGTGCAGCCAAGAGGAAGAAGTCACAAGCACTATCTTTCTGGTTGAACATCTTAACATTAACTGTCTTGCCTCCAACAATATTATAAATAAGGCAAGACTACCCAGCCCTTGAGCTCTGCTTCTTTGTTTATAGTTTACAAATTTGTTTTTTTTTTTTTAAAAAGGAAGTAGTACAAACACAAGATTTGTCCAAGCCAACTTCTTTATCCAATTGGAACAGCTTTTGGCTAAGTAACTGTTGATGCAGTGTAAGGAACACAGGTGTTGTCAGAAAACTATTTTAATTATTTACAGAATGATCATTGGAAGGATTACATAAAATACAGAAGAAAAATGTACACCTCTAACAGAAACGAGAAAAAAAATGATGTCGAGCGAACTCACAGACTATAGGGTCACAAAAGCACTTAAATAAGGCAAACAAGGAACAAAAGGGGGTGGAGGATCACAAACACTGCATGGGAAATAAAACAGAAATGCAAATTGAGGTTTTGTGTTTTTCAAATGGAAAATTAAAAAAAATAATAATCAAGATTCGAAACAGATGATGTTCCCACTAGCAAAATTTTGCTCACGCCAGCAGCCATTATTAGAATTACTGGTGCATTCAACCTTCTCTAACATAGCCTGAAACTTGCCACTTCCACCACACAAACTTCCCAGCACTGATGGGAATGCCATCTTTGCGAAGTTTCACATTTTATCTCCTACAATACACACTTGTGTGGCTGCGTGTACAGTTTTAAATTGTGCAAGAACAGGGAAAGTTGTTTCGCTTCCCTCCTCCAACTAAGGAGGTTACACTACAGCACGCGAGATTCAGTTTTGCTGCCAATGCATTTTGAAATCAATTCCCTTGCGAGAGGGACCTTCTGTTAAAAAAGGGATTTTGAGCCTTGGTTTTCAAATTCTGACCACGCGTCGTTCAGCTCCATGAAGATCATTTTGGCATAGTGCTCATAAGGCTGCCCCGTAGCCTGTAAACAAACAAACAAACAAACAACTGAATTACAGTGCAACTGTTCAACCGCAAAAGCGAGCAAACTTAACTTCCAACACAAGCAATTAGCTTTATTTCTGGAGTTAAGAAGAAATCTGCAGTAATATTACTATCTGCACACTGAGTTCCTCTATTCACAATTCTTATGTTTTTCAAAGAAGGATAAGTGCACTGAATGAGCTCTGAACTGGGTTTTTTCTCAGCGGGACATGATCAACCAATTGCCCATTGGAGAAGAATAAGAATGATTTTGAGTTCAGATGTCAATATGGAACCACGTGCCACTGAGGACAAACTATCTGAATGATTTCCCCTTCCTGTTCCAGAAATAGTTAGCAGGTACTGTAGTCCTTGACTTATTTACAGTCAGCATGTAGTCCTTGAAGTAAAGACAGACACCCCTCCCAAAGTTACTTATGATCCAGTTGCAAAGTTCTGACAGTTGCCCCCCCCCCCCCCACCGACCACATTTTGGGCCCTTGGCAACTAGCCCACCTATATGGCATTTTTGCCAAAAACTGGCATTTACATCTGGGTTGGGGAGGTTGGAATGGGCAGGTTCTCTTAAGGTTCTTCAGTCGAGGCCTACTTATAATCAAAAACCTTGTTCCCTGAAGCAACTACCCCAAGAAAGGTGACAGCAACTCCCCTCCCTTTATGCATATTCCATAAACTAGGAAGATTTGATGAAGCCCTTCCACGATCCCCTATATATTGTTTCTGTGGCAGCAAACTAGGCTTGTTTTTAAACACTGCACACCCAAAGCAATGATAGTTATCAGAGTGTGTGATGCAGTTTAACTTTTGACAACAGCTGTATGTATGCATGGGGGGCTGGCAGTCATAATTAAAAAATGAGTCATTGGTACCTTTTTTGAAGAGGGCCATTAAACAACCAGTTGTAAGCGAAGGTCTACCTGTAATTAGCATCCGTGTGAATAATGTTCCTGTATCTGTTTGTGAGTATTTACCAAGCACTCACCTTATCTGGATGAACGACAAGCACTGCTTTTCTATAGTACTTTTTGACCTGGTCAGGGGTAACCAGGTCTGCCATCCCAACTGGCTTCCATTTGGTTTCACCTTCCCAAAGCACAGTGTGAAGAGTAGATAATAATGCTCTTATATTCCTCTCTTTTCCATCAATCCAGTCTAGAAGCTGGCAGAAGAAAAGGGAAGGAATGGGAATTCGCATAAGCCAAATGTTGCACAATATATAATTGACACAATATGTTTCTTTTTATTGCTACCGGTAGCAATATTTGTTATCTGACAATGTCCATATTTCATGACATTTAATGCACTCTTTCTAACAGCCACTGACCTACTTTGCTCGTGATGAGTTCACAACTGTTTCTGCTTAACTATTATAGCAGTGAGCTAATCTCCACTTAAATTCACCACTTCTTAATATACAGAAGCTTTTACCCATTTGTTTTTCCTATCAATGCACCTATTGGCGATCAATCCCAACTGTGCAAATCCTCGACAGGTTACACTCTCAGTCCCTTGTCTTGCAATAGATATTTCTGATATTGATAGGGATGCTTTTTAGGATCTTTTCTGGCTCTGCTACTTGACTTCCTTTTAACTGAAAATTCCAAAAACAGAACCTGAGATCTCTTATTTATGCCCACCAAGGCATCCACCTTTCTTCCTATGGCACTTTATTTTGTAGCCTTGCCTCTTCTATTGCAAATTCTTTTTGCACTGTGTACAAAAACTTGGTCAAAAACACAGCAAGAATCTGAAGCAAGGCAAAATGTTCAGCATATATGCTACAAACCTTTAATTTTAGAGGGTCCATATCTTTAGATAGTTCTTGCTTTCTCATCTCAGCAATGGTCTTGGGTCCTTTTCTGTCAAACTTTGCTGAAAAGCCTTGATTTGACAAAAGGTCTTCAAAGTCATTTTCTGAAACTTTGGGTTTGTGTCCTGGCAAAGAAGAAAAAAGAAGCTAGGCATTTTCCTGTTGATAGAAAATTTACACAGAAATGACAGATTTGTTATCCATTACTCCTGTTGGTCATTGCTGAGCCACTATCTTTCAGGAAATGGTTACATCTCCTTGCTCAGAAACAAATCCAACTTTTTTCAACAGGGATTATTCCTGAATTAATGTGTTCCCTTGATGCAGACTAAGGGAAAAACCGATGGTTTACTAGACTGCTATCTTCCTTATAAGGCCACTAGATGTTACAAGTCAATTCAATCAGTTTGTTATTTACATGTTTCCAGTTAAGAATCTCAACATAGCCCAGAAATTAATGGTGAGATCTGAGAAAATCTTGGTTCAAGAATTTCATCATAGCCACACAATGATTAGGTAGCATGAGGTAAGTAAACATTCCTATTCATTTTCTTCTCTCAGTCTACACCAATGCTGTCAAGCTCGCGACCCGTGGCCCGTATCCGTCATGCGCTGGCCACACCCACGCCCGGTTTAGTGAAGGGGGAAAAAGCCACGATACATCACGTGATGATGCCATGACGACGCGAGTTTGACACCCCTAGTCTACAGCTCTCACATTGGCAGTGTAAGAGATCTATAAATTGGTGCAATAGCAAGTTTCAACCCTTTATTATATTCAGAGAATGATTAGGTGGCCTTGGATCAACCATTAGGGAAGATGTGCTCTGAAGCAGAGAGCTCCTTGGTCCTCTGTTAAAGCAGGAATAAACAACCTACAGTACTCCAGGTATTGTCGAATTACAACTCTCAGCAACCCTCTCCAACGTTGAGCAAGGGTGAAGGGTGATGGAAGAATTCCCAGCCAAAGAAAAAAGTTTCAATCTACTGGTCAGGAAAGACCCTATATGCATCTACCCTCCTGGCCTTACCTCCGCCCAAGATAATGGAGATGAAGATTATCCCTTATACTTTCGGTAGGCAATTATCTAAATTACCCCCAACTCACCAGTTTCCTGGACAAACATAAGAGCCTCTTCCAATTGGTTAAATACAGCCATTTTTAATGAAAAGAAAAACGAAGGAATGTTCCTAAATTTAGATGCACACTCCTTAAATTGTGAAAGCTGGAGAGCTACATAAATCAATTTGATTGTGCTAGAATTGCCTTCCTGGACATAGACATAACTCCCAGCCCACCTTGTACAGTCAATCAGATTTTTTATTTAATTAGATTTAACTTCCAAATCCAGAACCACTTTGAGCAGCTCACAAGAACATAACAGAAACACAAAATATAACATTAGCATCGGTACAGACAACTTATTACACACGCAGACACACACACAGAGGGGGGAGGGGAGGCATTAAAAAAAAAATCTAAAAAGTTGTCACATCCACTCACTTCCATTTTACCATACAGAAGCATGGAGCAAACTTGCCCTGGTGTGGAGGCCAAGCAGATCCCATTCAGCCCTACAGTGAGGGCTGCTCACTCTGATGTAAATTAAAAAGAGAGCGAGGAAATGGAGAAATTTGGAAGTGGGCATGCTCTATTTCAAGGGATACTTCATTTTGACTATGTGAACGACTTAAAAAAAAAAATCTTGGAATCAGGAATTTAACTGTGCTGTCTCAGTTAGATAGTCAGAAAAACCTGTCCCCTTAAAATTAATGGGGCCGTTGAAAATGTGTATGGTAAACCATTACAGGCCAATGCAAGTCTGATGTCACATACTCACCAAAGCCAGGGGCTCGGATGCCTCTCTCCTCCCGCCCTCCGATTACACTGAAATTCACAGTGTAGTTGGGTTTGGGTTGTGTGCCCAACTTGGCTTGTTCCGGAGGTTTGGGCTGGGGTGGCGGTTGCCATGAAGTGCCAGTGGTTTGTGGCTTGCTTGTCTGCCACTGAGTCCCCGCTGATTTTTGAGCTGACTTGGCCGCAAAACTGCCAGCTGAGAAGCCTCCACTAGATGTTCCTAGATAAGAAACAATTGGACACTTTCATGAACTAAATTATGCTCGAGTCAGAAGGGAAACCTTTCCAAGAGCAACCCTATTGCAACGTTGGTGGTAAGAAGGGTGTTCTTAAACGTAATTCAACAAGCAGCACCCCAAGCCAGAATCATTAGTAAAAAGGGTGGCAGGATCTTTCAATACTCCAAACTGCAAATATCAGTGACTGCACTGTACTGATATGCTATACAGGTAATCCTCAACTTACAATCACGACCGAGCCCAAAATTTATACTATACCCATTTTATGACCTTTCTTGTTGCAATGGTTAAGTGAACTCCTGCAATTGTTAAGTTAGTCACACAGTTGGTAAGTGGCTTTGCCATTGACATTGCCTGTCAAAAGATCATCACAGGGATTACATGACCCTGGGACACTGTGACCCTCGTAAATATGAACCAGATGCAAAGCATCCTCATTTTGAAGATGTGACAATGAGGATGCTGTAATGGTTGTAAGCGTGAAAAACAGTCATGTGTCGCTTTTTTCCAGTCCTGTTGTAACTTCAAAGAGTTACTAAATGAATGGTTGCAGACCAAGGACTACCTGTGGTCTAAGCTAGCCTGGACAGACACAAGGTAAAGGCTTGCAGTAACTCTTAGTGCTGATCTTTCAACCTAAGTTAAATGGTGGAAAGCATATAAACTTTCTTTCCATGAGAGGGAAGGGAAGGGAAGGGAAGGGAAGGGAAAACAGAGGAGCTCAAATTGGGAGAAGCTACTGACATCACACCTGCTTGTGAATACAATCTTCAATACCATCAGCCACCCCAACAAGAAATTGAACAAAGTCATGCCCAAAATGAATGGCCGTATTTGGGAAATTGTTAAGTTGCCTGAATACAAAAGAATAAAGAAAGGGTATTCATTTTTCAAAATGAAGGATGACTTATCACTGGCATCAGATTTTTGTACGTGAGGGTTGCACATGTACCAATTGAGACAGCATATTTAGAAGTAGGGGTAGCCAATGAGGTTTTTGGACTATAGCTTCATCAGCCTCAGCCCACAAGGCCAATGGTAAAGGAATGTGAGAGCTGCTGTTCAAAGCACCTGAAAAATGGCAGTCACCCACCCTCACGGAATAATAGTATTATATTTTTATTACTTTTTTCAGAAAAGAAAAATGCACAGTTGCACGAAGAAAACAACAGTCTAATAATGAAACCATCAGGAGTCCTGTGCTGAGCTGGCAGGATACAAATGTAATAACTAGTAAGTAAAGATTAAATTAAACGATGCACACACACAAAAAAGGCTTTCTGTGCAGGAATTGCTCATCTAATAATCCAGCCCCAATTCTTCTGACAGTCAGAGTTATTTGGAGAGGCAATTCTTTTTGTATCTCCTCGAGATCCGCTGGATTTGTTCCAAAATTTTCCTGAAATATGAACAAGTAGGACAAAGACCTTGTTCTGGGGACCTCAGTGGCGAGTAGTCCTTGACTTACAACAGTTTATTTAGTGATCATTCAAAGTTACAACGGCACTGCAAAAAGCAACTTATGTTATGACCGTTTTTCACACTTACGAACCATTGCATCCTCATGATCACATGATCATAATTCAGACGCTTGGCAACTGACTCACATTTATGACGATGGCAGCGTCCACGTGATCCCCTTTTGCGACCTTCTGACAAGCAAAGTCAATGGGGAAACCAGGTTCACTTAACAAACGTGTGACTAACTTAACAACTGCAGTGATTCACTTAACAGCTGTGGCGAGAAAGGCCATAAAACAGGGCAAAACTCACATCTTGCTTAGCCACATAAATTTTGTAAAACCGTGGTTGTAAGTTGAGGACTACCGCTGTACGCCGTTGATTCTGTGGCCTTTTTAGAGACGTTACCATGCTGACTCCTGGCGTAAGTCGGCCTGCATAGTTTGACAGAGGAGTCCGGAGGGCTTTCATCCAATTGCTTTTCAAAAGGCTCTGTTCACCTGTCAAGCAGCCACAATGACACAGGTCAGGCTGCTCTCTCTTCAAACTCCATTTCAGGTCTGTCCCACTGGTCTGTCAGATTGACCTTCTCTGTACCTTCCGCATGGATTCCGAGTTCAAAAGGTGGGCCAGACTCAGCTCTCCATTTTTTTTGAAACTAAAGGGCAAAGATGGGCCTCAAAGGAGCAGCTAAGGATGAAAAACAACAGCACCAAATTGTTTCACAGAGCCAGGGAAAACTCCTCTGGAAGAGAATCAGACTGAAGGCTACAAACCATAGCAGCCGGACGGCGGGGTGGGTGGCGGCAGGGTGGCTGAAAGCGGCAGGTGGCTGAAGTCAAATGGGAAAAAGTACCCTTAAAATAAAAACGAGTGATGAGTTAATGACTACGGCCTTTCATTAGTTTTATACCAACGCTTACCTGGAAGGCCACTCCTCAAGTTTGCAAGGTCAGCAAAAGGGTCAAGGTTCTGTGATTTTGCTTGATTGGAGGAATGACCCAAGGAGCCACTCGCTGGCCCTCCGGTTGTGAAAGCTGGAGCTGTGTGGTGGTAAATGCAAACACTTGTTATTATTTTTTTAACAGTAACTATTCATTTGGGGGCCTGTTTGATATACCTTTTCCAACCGCAGCCAGCATTCACTTGGCTTTTCCATAGTTTCCCCCCCAGTCTGTAAGTATGTTGGATTGTTGCCATTATTGCAATCCGTGTTAATAGGCAGTTATCAGATTGAATATATTGGAGGATACTTAGTATACAAACAAGCATGCAGAGGAAGAGGGAGGGAGGGAGGGAGGGAGAGAGACAGAGACAGAGAGACAGACAGAGAGACAGACAGAGAGACTGGCATGACTACACACCGAAGGCACACTGAATGAATGACCTTCCCACCAAAGTGGTCCCTATTTTTCTACTTGCATTTTTACATGCTTTCGAACTGCTAGGTTGGCAGGAGCTGGGACAAGTAACGGGAGCTCACTCCGTTACGCAGTGCTAGGGATTCGAACCGCCAAACTGCCGGCCTTTGTGATCGACAGGCTCAGCTCCAAAACCAGAAGAACCTTTCTAGTACATGGTAGCATGTCAAAAAGCATCAGAATGGATGTTTTTATAAAGTCAGAACAGGGTAATCAAAACAAGACACAGTATTCCCAACAACAGATAGCTCCCACATGTAAATATATGAGAAAAGTATTGCGGTAGCATTGCCCAAATCTTGGAAGTTAGTAAGTGTATGGAAACTGCTGTCCTGCAAGCAATTCCTCGGATAGCATGAACAATAGCTGTGCCACCTTCAACCTTAGGAAACTTAAATGTAATCTCAGCTGAAACTGGTATATAGAGATGCATGTATGTGTGTGTGAGTGAAGGTTTTAATTCAGAAAGTTGATGTGCATTTATTTCTGTGTGTCCCAATTCTTTGTATAAAAAAGAATAACAAAACCAGAATTGTTATCAGGACTCATTTTTGTGAAAAGACTACAATTCCCCAAATCCCCCTGTAGCATCCAGAAGCAGAGACGCACTGTAATGTTATGAGATCCATTAATTCATGATTGCTGTAGAAGCAATTCTGGTAGCAAATTGGTATTATTGGCGAAAAACAAACCATTTTTAATAACGCGGGAGAAGGGAAAAGACAAGCCAGAGAGTAAAGCATCTCAGTTCCGAAAGAATCTTGCTTGTGTAAGGTTTGATTGACATTGAACAAATCCGATTGGCACATCGGATTAATTTGCTTCCTTACATCGAGAGATTAACGGAGATGCTTCTTCACAAGGGCAATTGCTCAGTTTATTCTTTTTATGATGCAAGGTAAGGAAGCTGTAGAAACCAACGTCTTATTGACTATGCATGACACTATACTGTTCGATTCATTTCATTCTAATTTCCCTTAATGACCAAAATAAGATGTCATGCTTCATCTTTGTTTTTCCTGCATGCTGCTGGTTTTATCTTGAAATTGCAGCAGCAGTTCCTCCACGCCCCCCAAAAATCCCCCATCTTTTATTAAGGCCACAATGAGAAAGAGTGCCAGAACGCAAACTTGGCAGGGTGTAAGATATGGACCAAGATCGCCAATTGACCCTGACTGCTTATGCCTGAAATTTTCCCCATCCAGATATAATGAAGTTTCATTTTCAGTTCTAAAACATATACAACTCTGGGTAAAGGCTGTTGCCAATTCTCCTTTTATTACGCAACCACCATTTAGGTCTGAACATATTCTACAAATTGGAGCAGAATGGCAGGTTAGCAATTGCAAATGTTAAACCTTGCTGTCTTTTGCTATTGCTTTTCGAAAACAAAAGCCAAACTGGCCATATAGCCAAGGGTTTCTTGCAGATATATTTTAAAGGCACTGCATTATAAAGCTGTCAGGTCTCGCAGCACTATCTCGCTCTGTTATTAGCTTTGCCTACTTGCTTTTAGCGGCTAAAAATGCAAGCGACAGCCTCATACCATACCTTCCAAAGTTGATTTCTTAGGCGCTGTTGGGACAGTGCTGTCAGTCCAAGAATCCCAGCCACCTAAAAGGTCTGGCTGGCTTGCTGAGGAAGTTATTTTAGGTGGTTCTGGGGCCAAATTGCCTAAAAGGACGTAAAATCAGAATCCATACGTTAGGGTAAAGGCATGCAAAAATTTGTATAAATTTTAACATCCTGCAGATCTGCAGATCCTGCAGAGCTGGTGCAGTGGTTAAAATGCATTCATCATCTTCTTTTAATCTCTTCATAATCCCTTGTGGGGTGGAATCTGGACAACTGAATAGAGCTAGCAGAGAGTTTACTGGCCGGATGCCCTTCCTGTTGCCAGTGCAGAGTTATATTCAGCAGATATATTCTCACAGTGCCAAGAGAGAGAAATATCTGCCTCTACCTAGGATCGAACTCACAGCCTCCTGATTGTGAGGTGAGAGCTCCACCTCTAGGCCATCGCACCACTCCGAGTTATTATTGCAGACTAATTCTGCCAACTACCAGCAGTTCAATCTGACCGGCTCAATATCGACTCAGCCTTCCCATCCTTCCAAAGTCGGTAAAATGAGACCCATACGCGCAATATGCTGACTCTGTAAACTGCTTAGAGTGTCCTATAAAGCACTATATAAGTCTAAGTGCTATTGCAATTACTCTGAAAATACAGTTAGGACATCAGATTTTTCTCCTTTAGATTTTGAACCCAACTGGCACCGTTCCTCTCCATCTATTTGTACAGGTGCTGAGAAAGAAAAAAACTCCCCTAATATTTTCACTGCCTGGAAGGGTCAAAATCTCATATACGGTGAGCAGCAATGAGCTAATTTTTTCTAACGACACCTGAATCCTGGTCAAGGCATTCAAGGAGGAAAGGATTAGCTGGGTTCCTCCAAAGGCCATGCAGGAAAAGGTCATCTCTGAATGAGGACACGAAGCCCCGATTCTCCCCCATCCCAAAGCACACACATTATCGGCTTGGCTCCAAAGTCCCCAAACTGGTATTAACTGCTGTATCAAACCGGAGAGTGAATTATGAATAAAGAAGGATGAACAGGAGCGGGATAAGGAACAAACAACAAACAAAAAAGGAGGTAGGCATGTGTCTTCATATAGTGCTTGCAAGCATCCAGGAGAAATATGACAAGGTGCCACTTTATTAGACTGATCCCTGATCTAGCAGAATTCTTTCGTTATTAAAACAGCAACCCTGAAAATAAGGAAGTCAGGCCTTGCAAGCCTTCCGATGGAACATTTCTCAGTCTCAGCCACTTCAGGAACTGTAGACTTCAATGCCCATTAACATATGAAAACTCCTGCTCACGATAACGGTTAAAATGTCTGCTAAACTGGCATTACTCAAACGTTTTATACAACACTTGTAAAAGATGTAACCAGTTTGGTGAAGGAATTAAGGTAGAAACTGGGAAACCGAGTTCTAATCCTGCCTTAGATCCAAAGCCAGTTGGGTGACCTTGGGCTAGTTACACTCTCTCACCCCTAGGAAGCCAATTCAGAAAAAAACATTGCCAAAAAAATTGCTGGAACTTCTCCGGGAGGGATCAAAAACCAGGCGTCAAAACTGACTCAAAGACAAAAATAAAAGTATAAATAACTGAACTGCTGTTTGTTGTTAACACAGGCAGATATCAGATTCTACAAAACACCAGGCATTATGTCTATATTATTAGCCTCAACTGTCAAACTTCTAGTTGCTACTGTACAAACAGATGTCTTCTGCACTCAGAAGATCCTTTAATTCTGTAACTAAAGATGGCAGTTGAGATTTCCTCAAAATAAGATACAAGTTTGGCATGACATCAGATTTAAGCTTGCCTCAGATCCATGTTTAACATCTCTTAATTAGCTAGAAAAGTCATTCAAATTCAATTGCAGAGCTGCCCGCATGCATTAAATCACTATCATCTTTTGACTCCTTAAGCCCCTTCTACAGATCACAGGGCCTCCTCTCTTTTTTAGAAATTTCACTGTCAAGATCTTTGCTAAAAACTTTTCCAAGTCAAACAAGCAGGTTCACAAATGTCTTGCTCTGAAAATCTAACTTCTTGCATTTGGACAGAGACTCCATTAAACAGATCAAAAGGACATAGCCTCAATCGTCGTATGAAACAGGGGTTTACAACCCCTGGTCCGTAGCCCTTCATTGGGTCACAGCCCATTCAGAACCAGGCTGTGGAAGTGGGGTGTGTGTGTGTGTGTAAGTGGTGGGATTCTGGGCGTGGCTTGGTGAGCATGGCAGAGGATGTAAAATCTCCAGTCAAAAGTGGCATTTGCCGGTTCTCCGAACTACTCAAAATTTCTGCTACTGGTTCTCCAGAACTGGTCAGAACCTGCTGAATACCACCTCTGGTGTGTGTGCAGCTGCATTTGTGAAAGCAGCACATACACTGGCATGAAACTATCCCCTCTCCACCCATTCACCCTGCTGCCATCATTTTTGCTGGTCCACCGAGCCGAAAAGGTTGGGGAACGCTGATATAGAACAATATAACTGAGAATGAAAAGAACTTCATTAATCAGTGACAGAAACAACAGCACCTTTGCACCCAAGTTCAATATACACAATTGTCTCATTTAAGGATCACAGATTCAGTCTGCAATTGAAAGCCCTCTAACTTTAAAAAAATACATAAATATATACACTTTTTAAAGAAGTGAATACTTCTGGGAATATATTGCAGGTCAAGCATATTAATTTGTAAAATTAAAGCTACAGGCAATCTGACAAGGGACACTTGGCTCTTATTGCTACAATGTAAGTTTGAATATAGATTCCTTCTAGTTCTCAGTTGCACCAACTTTTGGTTTTATACCACCCTCATTCTTGCCAATTTTTCAATTGCTTAATTTCTCTCATCACCTTAGTAAAACAGGAAGCCACATGGGACTGGCTGCTATGAAGGGACCTAAGAGTAGCAATCTCAGTGACCGTAGGGCATTGTGACCGTGGTAAGGGTGAGGACTGGTAGTAGGTCACTTTTTCAGTGCTGTAATTAAATATACAGCTAAACATATGTTCACAAGTTGAGCATTACCTACAGATCTGAATTTGGTTATAGTTGCACACTTTGAGTCATGTAATACTTAGGAATAGCAGGATACTTTTAGGAAATGGTATTGTTGCTTCTGGTCTCTTCTCCATCCACCTTCCTAAAAAGTCTCATCTGAACTCAAGTAATAGACAGCTGCCCCACTGAATATACAAAGAAAAACACACACTTTTTTGTGTGTGTGGTTGGCTTCTTCTGTTTTAAATAATTTTCTAGCATTTGGGAAAAAAAATACAATCAGGTTTCACTTCCTTATACAATTTCACTTCAATGTTAGTCTGGCTTCCAAAAAGTTTTCTTTTGTTCTACTCATAGGAAATATCTATCTTGGTTGCCAATCTGCATTTATTGTGTTATTACTGTGATTTTATGTAAGTTAACTATTATTTGATGCCCAGAGTCATGAGATTGAGACTCTGGGCAGCACCTTACAAATTATATTTTAATCTAGACAAATTATAAAGAGTAGCTTAAGCTGCCTCTTTTCCTTTTATAGTTGCTTTCTGTTCTGCAACAATTCCAAGCCTCGATTTAACACTCAAACTTCATTTTTCAGGTTTGACTTTGTATCTATATCTACACACCTGAGCTTCATTCCAAGCAGCTACCCCAATCTGGTGGCCGGTGGATATATCGGACTAAAAACCTGCTTTATTCTGTATCAGCATGTATAACAACTACACTGTCACACAGTTATCCACAATAAAAGAATTATAACTAGAGTATAAGATAATTACTATTGCAACTGTTCTACTGGTAAACAGGCAAGTCCTTCCTGGATCTTATTATGAATTTTCCCGTTCTACAATTACCAGCATCCTATTCAGGTCAATTAAACTAACAAAGTTGAGATCTCTGCATGTTCCACTTTTCTCAATTTAACACTCAAACATTTAGTTCTGACTTTTAATAGTACTGATTTGCATTTAAAAAATGCAAATGCCTTTCTGGTTGTGCTGGATTAGTGTTTTCAATTTACTTTCCAAATTTAGCATAAGCCAGATCTACTGCCATTCTCAGATTTCTTGTCTGGAAGGCCTTAGCTTACTCTGAGAATGAACAGATTGGATTTGGGGCAGGGGAGACGGGGGACAACAAACCACAATTGTCAATTGCTCTAGATGTTAAATGAGCCGAAGTCAGAGGAAGATAAGCATTCATAAGTTGGTGAACTACATATGTGATAGCCCAGCATTCTCAATATTTCCAGCCATGTCAGCTGGCAATTTTAAGAGTTTAGTTCAAGAAGTTTAAGTAATGGAAGCCTATGTCAACCTGAGGACAGCTTCAACAGTAAGATAAGAATACATTCCTTAAACCATTCCATGAAAAAGACAGTTGCATTGAAGACTATTTTTATTTCTCTACAGGCTTCTGTCCAAGGTTACTATGAAAGTTATTTCAACATTAAAGTGAAATATTTTGTAACACATCATTTAGATACACATTCAGGATTGTATAAGACCCTCAGTTTTAACAGTTACAAATTAACAGACCGAAATCTTTTCATACAATGTATCTCTCTGTTCCTGCATAGTATTCTCATTTGTCATTTTCTGCAGGTGGAAAATCTCCATTCATCAACTTATGCAGGTATGTAATACCCATTTAAATTTAATGGACATTTTGACTTTATTGCTGTTTCTTTTTTTTTCCCCCTCTGGGTTGTTACACTAAAAGATTTGCTGTAAATAACTGGGTAGAAGGCAACTATTTTAACAGAAAATGGGGGTAATTTCTTTCTTATTTCCCCCCCTTTTTAAATCATGTGCATGTTAGATTGGATAGTTGAAAAAAAAAAAAAAACCAGACAGCCACAAAAGTTTAAATTATTATATTGGTTACACAAGATTTCATTGAGGTCAAAAAGCCACTGTCCAACCTGGTCTTACAGCAAGACTACTAAAACCCTCTAACAGATGATGCAATCATTTTAAAAAAGCTTTGTGCATCTTTATCCAAAGCATGGAGCAGATGTGCTATTAAGCCGGCAAGAGAGATCTTTTCTGGACTCTACAAACTGTTATTTATAGATTTAATCAGGAGAGGAGCCTGAATAACAACCGCATATGTGGTGCCATCTCAGTTCAGACTTAATACAAAGAGGGCATTAGTTTCTGTATTTGCTTTTCTGCCTATTTAAACAGACACCCATCCAATGACAGCTCCTCCTATGTACAGTTATAGAAACAGAATGTTTTTATACACAAGGCATTTTTAGATACATCAGATCGTTGTGAACTAGCCAAGAAAAAGGAAGAGATCTTTCTATCAGCCCTCTCTCTGCCTGATGGACAATCTATGCAAATGAGCGATATATACAAAGATGGTTCATTGTTTACGACGTGTATGTTTGTTTTTTAACCTCAATAATTTTTTAGAATGAAAAAGGACAACACACTTTTCTGGAAAATAAATGCACTGGAACATTGAGTTAGGTAAATACCAGAGATAATTGTGTTGTTGCCAACATGAGAAGAAAGGATGTAGAATCATAGCCAACACAGATGTCTACACTTACCTCTCTGGCACTTATTTTTCTTTACAAATAAATGAAGGTAACTCTCTAGATACTTAACACTGAGAATAAATTTATATTTTAATACAGTGAGCTGTTTGTTATTCATTTAGACTGTCTTCTTTTTAAACTCCAGAGAATTTGAACTCAAATGAGCTACTGAGTATAATTAATACTTTGTATACTCGTGATTCTCATAGGTTAGATATCCAATCTAACAGAAATAATCCGCACTTGTATTATTTTTCTGCATACTGCCTCTTATATCCATAAAATGGTTTTAACCCAAGCCTACGTTAACAGCAATATAGCAATATAATGTGGCTGCGAACAGGGAAAATTGGGTTTTAGGCCGTATTAACATTAGTTTTTGAAAAATGGAAGAATTCCATACTGGTCAGATATCATCTTAGATATTACATCTAATTCTATGTCCCATATTTTTAAGAAGTTTGAAACAAACTGGAATGAAGGGCAATGGGAATGATAAGAGGACCAGAAGTTAGATCTGATAAAGAGAGAGAGAGAGAAATGGTAATATAAACTCTTGAAAAGAGAACATGGGAAGCAATGCTCCAAGATTCATTAAATGCCCCATGCAGAATTTAACCAAGACAATATTTCTCTGTACCAGCATGGAATAAAAATGTCCTATTGCGCAGGACATGGAATAAGGATTGTAAATTAAAAGACAATGTAGTAAGATCAGTCAAGAAATGGAATCAGTTACCTTAGGAAGTGGTGTAGTCTTCTTCACTTAATATATGTAAACAATATACAGGATAGAGACAATAGTTTTATTTTGATTTGTGCACTGAATAAGGGAGTTGGATCAATGCCCTAGAAGTGTGCCTTCCAACTCAGCGATTCTATGATTAAAATTTTAGTTGGCTGGGTGGTAGGTGGAAGAGCACCAAGATTTTCAGAAGCACAAAATAATTTACAGGAAGTAAACACCATTTGGGGGAGGGAAGACATGCCTACTACCCACAGAATTCTGAGTGGCTATTTGACAGAGAGAGAAAACAAAAAATCACAGACAATGAAATGCACTATCGTCCTGGTAGAGATCTGGATTCCACCTCAGGAGCCATCAACACAACACAATTCTTTATTATAGAACTCACCACTATATTCTTAATGTCTAACATGACACATTTAAATTAGAGAAAGTTGCAGGGGACTTTTGTCACCCTTCAGAATATCACAAGCAAATTGGTTTAACTCAAGAGTATGTATCAGCTTTTTTGCAAGGGTTGTGGAAAAGTTGGCCACTCCTGTTTTTAAGGCAAAACGACAGTATCTCTAAGTTACACAAAACAGAACATCGAGAACCATGATGCCTGTTACTTAAAGATGGCACCAACTTCATATTACACCTGACCAGTTATGTGGCAGAGAGGAGATTATATATATATAGCAAAGAAGAGATTTTGCCTGCTTAGAGCTAATTGGACAAAGCGACAGAGTCTTGAGTGCCTTTTTATATTTTAAAATATTATACGTTGGGATGATTTTCCCAAAGTAACTCTGCCTTTCCACCCCAAAAGAATCTGAAGACAAAAGAAGATGTCAGTTGGAAAAACATTCCCCAGATTATATGAGGAGTTACAAGTTTATATCGACAACAGAAGGCTTGTCCATAGCAGTGCCATCACGTTTGTTTGACACTAATCCAACTTAACTAATCTAAGTTATCAGGTTTCACTCAACAGGCCATGTGATTTGGAGGGTGGGGGGAGAAAGGAAAGGAAAGGAAAGAGAAGGAAAGCAGGAAAGCAGGGGATACATCCACTTACCCAAATTAAGGAAGTCTGTGCTAGAGGAAGGAGGCGGTGCACTGTGTGTGGAAGGAAACACTGCAGGTACAGCTGGTGCATTTGAACTAAGAAAGTCACCAAAGAGGTCAGGACCGGTAAGAGTTGGACTGTCTGCATTTACTGTGAATGGGTCAAACTGGCCAGCTAAAGATAAAACAAAACACAACACAACATTGCTGGTGTTACTTGAGATGCTTCCAGAAATAAGGCAAGCAAAAAGTTAAGATTCTGCTCTGGCAAATATAGCAAGCCCCGAGGAAGTGCCAACACAAGGCATATTAAGGATAAATTCTTTCTAGATGTTAAGACTGAGCTTTGCACAAACCTTGACTATCGTTAGGGCTCAATTACTATTATATAACATCAGAAAGAGCAACAATCTTCTGTAACGATGCCTCAGATAATCTGTATCGTTCAGCCTCTTAAAAGTCTCTCGACTCCCAATAAAGAAAAAAGCAGCACCCTGTGAAACCCGCAAAAAAGCCAACTAAGTTTTATACTAAAAGAAAGCCGGCCGGCAAACTGAAATTAGCACAAAACTCATCAGCAGAAGGAAACCTAACAGGGCTTCCTTTACAAAATAATAATAATAATAATAAACCCCTGTGGCCCTGGTGACCCGAACGGAAGGAGAAAAGTTATACTGTACCAGTCAGAAGGGAAGGCATTATTGATTTTTTGTTTTTTTCAAAAGAAGCTACAAAAGGGCAGGGAAGAAAAGAAAAATAAACAGAAAAGCAGCTCCCAGCCTGAAGGTATTTCACTGCCTACTGTCAAGCAAAAACTGACTGCAGCTGCTCAGGAACCATATTTATACCCAGCAGGGAACGCCACACTGTGGCCAGTGGGAAATTTGGCAGATGCTCCTCCACTTTGCCACTTAAAGGTTTTAAGAGTCAAGGCTCCTAGAAACTAAGATGTGTAAAGTTGCTCCGATTAGCAACCCGCTCCAACCACCGCTCATCATTTCAAGCAAAACTAACCTGCTCCTTCATCATTGATTGTTTTCATCATCACACATCAGCAGATGAATATAATAATAAACGAGGCGATTTTCATAAACACCCAACACGCAACCCTGTTCCAAACAATTACAGCATAGTTGCCCTCGTCTGATGTCAAGGTGTATTGCAATCATTAGAACAATCTTGCTTCCTCAAGGGCAAACTTCCATTTGTAACAGATGGAGAGGGCAGGATCTCAACAGGTAAAAAACCGTACGTATTACACACAAGAGGTTTGGATTCAGGTTTGAATGAAAGTTCCCACTGTTTTTCCAGCCATTACGAGAGTCCATCCTTAATTCTACATTCTGCTGAGATTTTGAGGGAGGTGGCTAAACTTTGCAGCGGGATACAAGACAAACTGAAAACCGCAAGGGTGAACACACTGGTTTTCATAGTTTCTACGAATGTGCAATTAATCACACCTTTCTCCAGTCAGATTCTGAGAGCAAATGCAGTGATTGGAATTCAGAAAGGAGACAGACTGATCAAGGACCAAATCAAGAACCAAATCAGTTGACATTACAGGCAACCTTCCTTGCCTGCCAAATTCTAAACGAATCATTTAATGTTCAGAGAATATGCTTAACACCCCTGCCTAAATTTTATAAATATGTTATGCTACAATTAGTTTCAAGAACACGGCACCCTCTATATGTGTTGGACCAGATTTTCCATCACATTGGGCCAGAACTGAAACTAACTAAAACAATTTGCCCCAAAACTCTATGGAAATCTACTTTAACATTATAAGATACCATTTTAAACCTTATGAAGAATGAAAGAAGAGACATTTTAGGGTTAGATGGAGCGTTCATTGTGCCATTATACTTTCCAACAGTCTTAACCCATAAGACACCCCTGTTCCATAATCTCTTTCCATTTGGAAATAGCCCATGGTATCAATAAGATCCCTTGAATGGGAAAAACAGGCAGTCAGAACCCAGTTGAAACATTCATTCAGCATACAGAAACAGAATAGGAAAAAAGTGTGTGAGCACTGGCCTGTCTTTCCAATAAAAAGGTAATGGTAAAAGAGTCTCTGAGATTTCACTCTGCTACTCATTGGTGACTCTAGGAGGCAGTGCTCATCTCTGTTTCAAGGCCACTGAGCCAGCGCTCTCTGGAGACATTTTGATGGTCATGTGGCCAGCATGACGTTACGGAGTGCTGTTACCTTCCCACTGTAGTGGTACCTATTTATCTACTCGCATTTGCACGGTTTCAAATTGCTAGGTGGGCAGGAGCTGCAATGAATACAGGACCTCACCCCCATCGTGTGGCACTCAGGTCTCAAACTTGGGCTGTTGGCTTTCCAAATGACAAGCCCAGCGTCTTAACCACTGAGCTCCTGTGCTGCCCAATATTATTGGATTAACTCTATTTCCTAAAAAAAAAACACAATAATTTATGATTTTGAAAGTTTGCAAGTTGCTATGACTATGGAGTACAGATAGTCTTCATTTACCAGCTACAACTGAGACCAGCAACCTTATGTGCCACAGTCATTAAGTGAAAAATCAGATGATCATCCCAGACTTAAGCAAATCCATCATTAAATGAGCCACCATGGTTGTTAAGCAAGACATCTCAGGATTATGACTTGCAATTTCACTTCTGCGTTTTCCATTAATTTCAGCTTTTTAGGATGTTGGTTGTGAAGCTCATAAATGGTTTCACAACCAACTTTCAAAAAACAGAACTGTGCCCAAAAGTGCCCAACAGCATCACATAACGATGGGATGTAGTAAACGGCTGTAAATACAAGGATTGGTTGCAAAGCTCTTCTTTAAAAAAGAAAAAAAACTGTTATAACTTTGGTCACTAAACAAAGCAGTTGGTAAACAACGACTACCGGCAATAGCTACCATTGATAGTACTCAAAAATAAAGCTAATATGGATTCCATTATTCTTGGATGATATTAAACTACAAGCACACACCTCTTAAGATCTAGAACCAGATTTTAACCATTCTTGCTTTCCAGCTCCTGCCTTTGCCTTTAAGGTAAGATAACAAGTTGTAATAGCAGCAGGAACTACTGATAGATTACACCAAACAATCACTCTATTAATGATCAGCATAACCTTTTTTTCATTTCTCTACTCCTCCTAACACATTTATACAGAATTTGTTGTGCTGTAAACACAAAGGCTAGAACTGTACAATTAAAAAGAAATCCAATTAAAAAAGCTGAGATTTTCCAAGATCACTAATACAGGGGTCCTCAAACTTGGCAACTTTAAAGACTTGGGGACTTCAACTTCCAGAATTCTGGGAGTTGAAGTCTCCAAGTCTTTAAAGTTGCCACATTTGGAGACCTCTGATCTATTGAAACATTTCATTTTATACTCTAGAGCAGACAACACCCCTGGGTTCGATGGAAAGACTAATGGAAGAAAAAAACTCTTCACAAGCTTGTGTGTGTGTGTGGGTGTGTGTGAAACTCACTATAAGGGACCAAAAAATGGCAGAAAAGGTGGGGCTTGTCAGATGACATTCGGAAGCCCTGCTCTCTTAATCACAGATTTGCCACAAAATGCCAAAGGGAACGAAAAGTTGTCTTCTCTTTTACTCAGCTGCTCCACAGGCCAGAGTTCCAATGAAAAGGAAACTCAAGGTACCTACCTGTAGAAGAAGAGGTGGCTGCTGCTGAGGAACTGTTGCCCTGGGAATTGGCTGAGGCCTGGGGCTGGCCACCAAAAAAAAAGTCTGCTCCTCCGCCCAGGAGGTCTGCAGTTGAATCTTCTGAAATGTCTGGAGTGCTACCAACAAAGAGCCCATTCAGCAAGTCTGCATTGCTGGAAGAACTCTTCATCTCCGTTGGAGGTTGGAGCAGTTCAGGAGCAGCCTCTGAATCCAGCCCAAGCAAGTCAATGCTGTGTACCTCAGGAGCCTCTTCTGACTGAGCAGCTGGTATATCAAAGGCAGCTTCAAAAAAATGCTTGCCATCTTTCTCTTCCAAGAGGTGCAACTCTCTGTCCTCCAAAGGTCCAACATCATCGGGGAATGCCGAGAATTCCTCATTGGAAGGTTCGATCTCCTCCTCTTCTTCATCGCGCCCAGGACTCTCTTGAGAAAAGGAACCTTCAGGAGCAGTTTCAGACTGTTTTCCTTCTGTTTATTAAAAAAAGAAGAAGTTTGTCCATATTCATATGCCTTTCCCTGAAGAATTCAATGCAAAGCATATGGGATTCTCTTATCAACATAACAATTCATCCAAAGGCACCTGCTGAACTCAAACGGCTGACTTCAGAGGAATATAACTTTATATGTCAACAACCACTTTTCCCCTAGGGCATTTTGGTAAAGCTCCAAGCAGCACTCCTCCAAATTGCCATGGCTCCCAAGACTTAGCACAGCCTTGAGACACGTGGATTTCAACTCCTAGAACAGGAGTTTGGTGGCTTGCATGGTTAGGATGCTGGGTTGGAGGTTAACATGCCTGCGTTCGAGACCCAAGTGATGCCATGTGGTGGGATGAGCTCCTGTCCTTTGCTCCAGCTCCTGCGGGGGGCATGAAAGGAACCCCCAAATGGGCGTCCCCTGGGAAACAGTGATGTCACTGGCTAGTCCTTTCAACCCAGAAGCTCCTTGGTGCTTCTGACACGAATGCGAACTCCTAGAATCTCCTAGTTAGCATTACCACCGGGAAATTACAATTCCCACATTTTGAGACTGCCCAGTGTGAAGAAGAGTGTCTTAGTGCCATTGACACCAAGTCCAGAGACCTCTTTTGCCTCTGGAAAGGCTAGAGAAGGAAATGGTCAGACACAGTGAAACGGCCAGCAGCGGAAACCTCTCCATCTTGAAAAAGAAACTTTAGGTGAGGTGTTTCGCCAACGACATTAATTGAGAGAAAAGTGCTTCAGAAAATCATATCCATCATAATCGAGAGGAACCAAGGAAGCAAAAACTGTTTGCTTTCTTTATGCAATGGATGAAGCAAAGCAGGTGTGATTAAAACAAAAGGCACATTGGAAAACAGAGCTCTTCCATTAGCTACATTGAAAGACCAGTTTGGAGTTTTTGTGCTGACTTGGTCAGATTTAAGAATAAGGATTCAGGACAGGTATTTTCTCTCTTTCTCTCTCTCTCTTTCTTTCCTGCTCCCCCCATTTTTCGGCCTGAATTTAGATTATAAGTCTAAGGCGAAGGGTGAGATCACTCATCCATAAGCTGCTCTGAGAACCTTTGAGGCTAAGAGAAGGATAAGAAAGGAGTTTAGAAAAAAACAAAGCGCGACAACACAGCTTTGGATAGTTGACCGATCCTTTCTCTTTACCTTGCCAGTCAAGTGTATGAAAGAAGTTTGCCTCGGCACTGCTGCTTTCTGGAGAGTCTGGCTCCACAGGTGGACCTTCAGAGGAGGCTTCCGATGTTGACGCTTCTGCTTCGTATTGGGCAGTTGACCCTGGCTGCCTGGGCAGTTCCGGCTTTCCTATCAGGTTAAAAAAATAACGATCAAACCCCAGGAATATGAAAGCATCCTATTTAAGGACCCGCCTCTTTCGGAACTGGCTTTCTCTTTAAGTGCTTAAAAAAAGGGGTGGGGTGAGGGGAACTACTCAAGTAGAGAGTGAAAAGGAAGGTTACAGAGAGTTTAAGTGGGCGTTCTTTCTTTTTCCTTACCAAATTTTGATAAAATCTCTTGTTGCTCTTCGCGGCTGGAAAAAAGGATCTTGGGATTTAGGCCTTTGATGTTCAAGTTATCCCAGGGAGCTCGTTCCATGATGGGCTTGTTTCGTGGCTCTACTTCTACTTCTAGATTCACTTGAAACAAGTCAGGATACTTCTCTTGAATATCACAGGCATCCAGATCATACCTGTAGGAATATTAGGTTAGTTAGAAGCACTACTTTTTTTCTTAAAGGGAAATGGCAGAGGGAAACCTCTTGAAGCAAGATGGTAAGAACCCTGAAAACAGGAGTGTCCAACTCGTGGCGTCATGTGACGTACTGGGAATTTCCCCCCCCCCCCTTCACTAAACCAGGCATGGGCATGGCCAGCGCATGATGCATCCAGCCCGCGGCTCAGGAGTTTGACAGCCCTGCCTTAAAACAAATTTAATTTGCTTTCGTGAAGCTTGCAAAGGCAACCCACCCCAAAATTGTGACTTTAGCTCTTTTAGTCCTCTATAAAAGTCCATCATGATGAAATATAGGACAAAGAACCTGGGTTTTCATGGAATAATAGAGGATTTCCCCACCCTGTCTCTTAAATGTTGAAGAAAAATCCGATCTTAGAACAAGAGTTGTTAATCATCACTTTACAAGGGTAAAATTGGGGTCAATGGGGTCAATGATAATGAAACCACATCCGGAAAACAAGTAGAAATAATATGAATTAGAGAAAAGAGCTGCAAATTAGGTCTCAGGATTATTTACTTCCAGTCTTAACTCTCCCTGTTACACATATGAATTCTTCTTACCCAGCTCTGCTACTGTTTGGCTACAGGTAGTCCTCAATTTACGACCACAACTGAGCCCAACATTTATGTTGTTAAGTGAGAAATTTGTGAAGTAACTTTTGCTGCATTTTACGACTTTTCTTGCCGCATGTGCTAAGTGAATCCTTGCAGCTGTTAAATTAGCAACACGGTTCCTCACTGACTTTGCTTGTCAGAAGGTCATAAAAGGGGATCACACATGACCCCGGGACACTGCAACCGTCATAAATGTGAGTCAGCTCTCAAGCATCCAAATGTAAATCGTGTGTGTGTGTGTGTGTGTGTTACAACCATTGTTAATTGTGAAAAACGGTCGTAAGTCACTTTTTTCAGGGATGTTGCAACTTCGATCACTAAATTAACTGTTGTAAGCCAAGGACTACCTGTATTATGTCTGCCCAAACCTAGAACAACTCACAACTTTTGCTTCAGAGCTCAGCATTTGGTGTCTATTTTATCTTCACTCTGAAGTGGTCAGAAGCCACACCAAATGCCGCAGTCAGAAACATGGAGAATCTCCATATGAAGGCATTTAGAAAAGAGTGGGATGCAGCCATCCTCTACCCCTTGATCTCTCCATTCTGGTTCATCTTACAACCATTAGCATCCACATAAGAGTCCAAGGCAAGGGTCTTCAAACTTGGCAAGTTTAAGACTTGTGGACTTCAACTCCCAGAATTCCTGACCTAACATGACTGGAAGAGGAATTTTGGGAGTTGAAGTCCACAAGTCTTAAAGCTGTCAAGTTTGAAGACCCCTGGTCCAAGGTATGTGTGATGACCCAGGGCGTGGCACAAAAGCAACAAAGTCACAAAAGTAGGTAAAGTCCCTTTAATTCCTCTAACTTGGTCCCCAATGTCCAGTTATCATTGGCTGGAGAAAAAACTCTCCCAAGAAGTTTTTAAAGGGAAGAAATTCAGTCCGAACCCAAAGTACATATAAATTATAAATAAAAACCAACACAAGCCACGCTGCAGCAATTAATGAGACAGGGCAGGATAAGGAATTGCAGACTTCCAAAAGATAACGAAACACACACAGTTAGCAGGACGCCAGAACCCAGATAAGATGTGGCAAACAAAGATAATACACACTTTGCTTCCAGCAAGGTTCTATGCGCAAACACCCTTTTTATCTGATATTCCCAGCTGTAGCTAATGAAGGGAATCAGGGCCTTTTTCTCCCTCGTAACCCATGTTGCTCCCTTATCCGTTCCTCCCTGCGTGCCCTAGGATGAAGATGGGGTGGGCCTGGGTCTTCCTCTGAATGCCCAACCGGACTGTGCCCTTCCCCAGTTACCTTCACAGCCACCGGAGCCACACTCCCACTCCCTGTCAGATGTTCAACCTCCCCCTCCAAATCAGATTCCAACAGGGGCATGACAGTATGGCTGAAGAAAAACCTGGTTACTCCCCAGTACTTTGGTCTCTGAAGTAGAAATGATGTTGTCCACTGGGTTGAAAAAAGGTTGAAGAATGGTACTGGAGGATGCTCTACAGGTAGTCCTCGATGTTTCGAGTTTCTGATGCTAAGCGAGACAGTTGCTGAGTGAATTTTGCCCCATGTTAGAACTTTTCTTCCTGCAGTTTTTAAGTGAATCACTGCAGCTGTTGAGTTAAGCCACACAGTTGTTAAAGTGAATCTGGCTTTCCCCATTGTGACTTTGCTTGTCAGAAGGTCGCAAAAGGGAATCACATGCCCCCCAAAACACTGCAACCATCATAAAATATGAACCAGTTGCCAAGCGCCTGAATTTTTGATCGCATGACCCTGGAGATGCTGCAATGGGCCTAAGTGCGAAAAACAGTCCTAAGTCACTTTTTTTCAGTGCCACTGTCATTGTGAATGGTAGCTAAATGAACTGTCGTAAGTGGAGGACTACCAGTGTTCAAAAAACCCGAACGAATACGAATGCAAGTACGAGAAGTGTTGGGAAGCATTTCCTATAGAGACGTGATCAACATACTTTGCAAATTTCACAGTGGTGGCATTGCGAGGTACAAATCCTGTATGAAACTGGATCTGGAACATCTTCATTGATGCCATCTTGAAAAGGAACAAAATAAAAAAAAAGACGAAGAAGAAGAAGAAGGAATTAAGACATGCTAGTGAAGCAATATGTCCTAAAGACACAAATCCTCATCTGACCACCTTCAGCATTTCATTACACATATTTTCTGACTGCCAATCTTGTGTTAAAAGGCCTTTGGCCCTGGAACAGTTTATCTTGCATCCCAATGATTTCCTGCTGTCGATATATTTATTCATAGCATTTGAAGCCAGGCCCTTTTTTTTCTTCTTCTAGGCTCAGGCAGCTAGAATCAAAGTCAGCCAGAACTATCTTGGTCAACAAAAAAGCTGAATTAGTGGCTAAGCGTTATTGTGAATCAACTCAAGCGTTTCAATTACTCTAGATACAGGAGAATCTGAGTTTTCTGCAGCAATCGGCAGAAAATTCATATTTATATTTCTCTTTAAATGTTTAATATTTTTAAAAAGGCTGGTTCTCAAAGATCAAACCACAGCACTTAACTCTAAAAATTTCACTGGAACGTTTGACATTTTTCTGCAGCTGTTGTAGTTACATAATTTCCAATAATTATTTTATTTATAATTACACAACTTTGTTTAGAAAAATCAGTTGAGCTCAGGAAAGCAGTAAAGTAAAAATGAGGAAATGGTTTCCTATTTATAGAGTATTAAAAAGGAAAAAAAAAATCCAACCAACTGGTAAGAACAAAGCTCTACCCTGAGGTGCTCAATAAACATTTTCAGAACTTATAAGCACAGAAATCTCCAGGTTGATTGTTACCTTGGCTTGGAGTCTGCCACCTAAAGTGGACCTGGCATGATATATCACAATGAGGACATCTCCTTGGACAGTGATGCCTAATGGGATGACTGCTTTCCCATCTTCCATTTTGAAATCCCTAAGGAGGATAAGCATAGACGTGATTTTAAGATCTGAATGCAATTGTAATTCATTCTACCAGTTTATTAGTTCATTGCTTCCCTATTTAAAGATATTCCAACACATCTGCTCTCTTGCACCTGGGGCAATCATGCACACCATACAGAAGTCAAATTAATATCCCCTAATTTGATTTTGACTTCTACAGGTATACAAAAGTCAAAAATAATTCATTTTAGTTTATTAAAAGATATGGTCATAGACTAAAAAATAGATACAGTTCAGTTTTACTTAAAGTTGCGCTGTGTATATATGTGCCTTCAAGTCACAGACTATCCAGATTAGTTCCTGCAGTTTTCTCAGCAAGGTTTTTTGGAAGTGGTTTGCCATTGCTTTCTTCCTAAGGATAGGAGAAGGGAACTAACCCAATGGCTGACTTCATGCCTTAAGGTGGGACTAAAACTCTTGGTTTCCTGGTTTCTAGCCTAGTAGAACTATTGCACTAAACCAGCTCACGATAAATATTTAAGGATTGTTCATACAGCTATAGTATTATAAGTATTACAGTATTATAAACTAGGATTAGTTAAAGCAAATCCATCTTTGTCTACCTACATTTAACCAAAAATAGACTTTTGGGATGGTCCTGCCTACCTTGAAAATGTAAAAAAGGATGAAGATTAGCCATACCCAAACTGTTATTCTGGTGTGGTCATTAAATAACAAACTTTTCTCTCTTTCAACCCAAAATCAGATTACAAACTGATCTGGGAACTCCATTGTTTCTATTATGAAAATCTGGCTAAGTACCATGCAAACTGATCAACCAAGCACAAAACTACAAACATTCCTTGCACAAGCACATTTCAGGGGATTCCTGTTCTAAAATGAGGTATTAATATTTGCAGCAGGTATTTTCCACTTCCTGTTGCTTACTAACACTGGATTCTAGTTGTAAACATGCCAAGATTAAATGGTTTGGGTTTTTTTGAGAGCCATTTCATACCACGCTGCAGGATAACCTTCTCAAATCACAAGCCCTCTCCCCATATATATTATAGTACTACTCCCATCAATCCTCAGCTTGCATGACCACTGGATGAAGGAAATGGCTGATTAACATAACTGAACTCCAAAGAGTACAAAATTCAGGCAAATCTGCCTTTACTTTAAACGAACATCTAAAACTTGAAAGACTGACCATCTCTGGCTCTTTTTCATCTGATGTCCAGCTTAGCCTCCAGGCTAAAGCAGGGGAAGGCAGTGAACAAAGCCAGTCCACCAGCCTTGATAAAATTTCAATTTCTCCTTTTCTTTCTACCCTTAAGAACTCTGGGGTTTCTCTTTTTCTTCCCAATGTCCCCTTTATGCTTCATCTTTTACTTCATAAATCGAAGACAGGGATGCTTTTAATAGGAATCAATCCAGGGAGATTTTTTGCACAATAATCAAATAAAACATCTCATAAAATAGCCATTGCATGAATTAGTATCTGCTTCTGATAGTCAACTCTAATTGACTATGCCAGCTATAAAGCTGTGTTAGATATTAAGGCACCAATGGATGTCCTCCCCACCATACAGATCATCACCGCAACAGACAAAATAGTGGCTGTCGGAAAATCCCACTTACTTCATTTTATCATATTCTTGTGAGGTAGTGGTTATTCTTTCATCTCCAACATAAACTTCGCAGAAAGGCCTGCAGCCATTGCGCTGCTTGCTGAAGAGAGGAACTGGAGTCATGATGATTGACTTTATGAGGATTGGCTTGCTGTGAGGAATTATGGGCTCATCCGCCATCATGTCACACATATATTCAATATATCTGGGAACATACAAGAATAGTCAATGTATACAGTCAAAGAAGACTGCATGAGCCAAGTCAGCGCAATACAGCTTCAACAATAAGTGTGCAAAGGCATGTATTCTTTCTCCCACTATTCCTAAGCTGTACGTAGTTAAACAGTATTGTAACACAGAGATAGTCTGAAAAGAATAAAGCCATATTTTTTTCAGTTTGTATAGTTCCATAATTGGGAGACATACTTGCCATAGACCAGGGTTTCTTAACCTTGGTAGCTTTCAGATATGCAGACTTCAAGTCTCAGAATTATCTGGCCAGGATGGCTGGAAGGGAATTCTACAAATTGAAGCCCACACATGGTTAAGTTGCCAAGTTGAGAAGCACTGCTTTAGATCAATGGCTGAACCACAGGAGTGTTTTTGCTAGTTTAGTTTAAGTGAGCATCATTAACCTCATACTAAGAAACAATTGATTTTTTTTTTTTTACAAAAAAGGTAACTTGATCCTTAATGGATCATTTGTTATATAGCTGGGTCAGCCATGAATGATCATACTTGCTTCTACGCCCTAAAGACATGTCTAAATATGTAGCTGAACAATGTTTGAGGAACAAGTGCTTTTAGTAAGGCTTATGGGGTTGTCATAATCTCTGCAGTTTTATTACATTCCCTCTTTTTGTACTCATATCTCTATGTTCATATTTTTTATCAGTAAAAAGTATATCGGAAGCCTCAAAAAATAAATTTATTTAGCAATCTAAAGATATCTTTAAAAGGCATGAACTTTACAAAGGTATGAACATTATCAGCACAGTAAAGCAGCATTTGAATGATAGATGAGAACAAGGAGCTCTCGATAGCAGAAAACAGGAAAAGCAGTCAGTGCTATCTTGTAGAATGAACAGATTCACCCAATATACTATGCCTACTGTGGTTAAGCTTAGCATGCTACATGAGCCCAGACTGAAGTGGTTAAGGAAAGATGTCTAAATTACAGGCTGCTATGACCAATTTATCAGGAATTAAATTTCCTTAACCATTGTGTGGTTTGTTGTATGAATCTGGGACTAACAGTTGTCAGTTAAGCCATTAGTCCTGCAGAAAATCATGTAAAAAGAGTGGTCACAGCTAAGTCATTCCCACAATAACATTTTCACTGCTCCCGCTGTTACTGGGCCGCGTGCCACACAGACACTATGTATAAAACTCAAATGAATTAGGGCACGGGTATCACAGTGGTGGGCCAGATGCGTCACACGCAGGCCATACCCACTCCAGCTCCGCAAAGGGGAAAAACGTCGCAAAACATCACATGATGGCAACATGACAGCACAAGTTTGACACCTGTGAATTAGAGGGTGTCAGCCTTCCAGTCTGCATACAATAGCTTTGACTTTATTGTGGCCATATTTCTATTTTTTTTTCCCAATTAAAATAAACAAATAAAATGTTAGAAAATGATGGGCAATGAAAAGGTTGGCGGGATATTAAACTAAAAAGAAGGGGAAATGAAGAAAAATCCAGCCAGGTCTGGCACCTATGCTGGATTTGCAGAAATGTTTTCATTGGAAAGTGACTTAATCACTGTTTAATATTAACATCAATACTACAATTATAAAAACATCTTGCTGTGGACTGTATGAACAGGATAGAACCTTGAGGAAACAAATGCCTTTGTAAGAAGACACACTCCATTGATCTGCTTACAGCTTACCACGCTGCAAATTTTATTTAAAAAAAAAAGCAAGGTTTGTCTTTAAGGAAATGGTTGTTTCTGCAAACAACATACCTCTTATGCGATGGCCAAATGCCGGGAGGACAACGTTTCATACTAAACATATAAACAGCAGCTTCAGCTGTGGTGAAGAGGCGACAGAAACATAAAAAAGAACAGACCACGACTGCGGAGGCTGCTCTTCCATCCTATGAAAAAAAAAACACAGAGCCACCAAAGAGGGGAATTATTGAAAAATCAAACAAAATGTGCATTGATTATTGGCAAGAAAAAGTCCTCT